TAACTATCATAAATAAAATGGCATAAATGGCATAGTGCAAGTTAACATTCATCAACATGAATTATTTCCTCACAGGACTTTAACTATAGTAATGTAACTATAGTAATGTAACTTAGAGGCATTAAGACGTTTACGCGCTTAAATATCCCTCCCTGCACTGGTAACAGTGGAGAGAATGAATTAAAAATAGGCCCCTTCAATCAACACTTGAAACACAATTAAATTTAACAGATATGTCATCATTCAGTTAAAGGGATACTTCACCCATTTGCATTAAGCTTTGTATCATTAGAAACCTGGTAGTATTTTTGAATGGTTGTGCATCCCGCCCTCATTTTTCCCTGAGATGTGAAATCTTTGAATTTCTGAGTCTGAAAAGGAGCTTCCAGTGACGTAAAAATCTTACTTTTGCGCCATCGGAAGCTGCTGTGGTTAGCGGGGTGGAACTACAACGCTAGTTCCTCTAACTTTGAACAACTGACGCTACAGACCAATCACAGATCAATGAGTGGGAACTCACTCCCAGAATCAAAACTTTCCGAGAAGCCCCTGACTGCAGTGTGCAATTCGGGGCGGAGCTCAATGTGGGCCCCCATATTGAGCTCCGCCCCGAATTGACTTCACTAGGAGTTTTGTTAATTCTGGAAGGGTTAATATGGGAAAAAAAATCTAACAAATTTGTGGGGAAAGTTATAGGCTACATGCAGCGTGTGTTTTCATGGTCAGAAGACTAGAAAAGTGCTGTGAGTCCAGTCCATTTACCATACCAATAAATTGTCATGTAGTTTACCAAACCAAAGACTATTAAGTGCTTGCTCTTTAAAAACACTTTGGTATGTGTTTGTTGTAAAGGAGATAGCACTTTAGGTATGTTATGCATTTTACTTGAGATTGTCTGTAAAAGAGCCTTAGAAATCAAAGTGGCAGCCACATCTTTATCAAAGCAAGAAAAGGTTGAACTAGGCCTACCACACAAAGATAAGTAGAGGGGATTGTAAAAACATGTGGTTTGGTCAGCCTTTAAATATAAATATTATGAGGGTGGAGCACAGAGCTCACAGATACTTTAACCACCTGGATAACAGCACCACCTGGTGTCCTTTTTTTAAAGAGGGGGTTAATCAGATAAAATTGAGAAAAACGGTGTTTTATATTTTATATATATTCTATCTATATTCTATCTGCAGACTCAATTTAAAGACTAAAAGATTGGGGAGGAAATGATTTGACAGAAAAATTATTGGCTAAAAATAAGTTCCAGTTTTATATATTTAAAAAAAATGTAGACTATAGATTTAAATAGCCTACATTCAAATAAATAATGTGTAGCCTATAATCTCCATAGTAACCCAGGTTGCTAGGAGACGATTCTAAAAAGTACTTTGAAACAAATCTCAGTGAGAGACAGCAGCAAATATTCACAGTGCTTTCAAAGTTTGATATTTTGGAGGATTTCTTGGACAAAGATCTTCATCAAGGACTTTTTGTTCTCCGAACATCGACTGAACATCATCACGAAGCTCAAGAGTGTCAACACGGACGACGTGAGATTGATTTTTTGAATAAAACTGTTTTACTGTCGAAATCGTTTCTCCTCCTATCAAGTGTTTGAGCATGCAGGATGTAAGATTGATGATTTGAATCAAACTAGATCGACACGATCACACTTTTAAAGTTCAATAAGGTAACATGGACTCAGAGGTTTTTAAGACTATTCACTTTTTTATCACAAACAAATATGAAAACATGTAATAAATTAAATATTAAAACATAATCATGTCAGCAGCTGCTTCTGTCATGATCTTTATAAAAACTAAATGATTTTAACTGTTTTAAAACTCAAATAGTCTATTTCATTTATATTGTGTTGAGAAAGAAACAGTGAAAGTAGTTCAGGAACTTTAAGTTTGATCCTGAATGAATCTATGTGAGTGTAAACTTTAATAACACATTAAACCAACAATATATAGATATTAAAAAAATACTTTCTACTGTAAATACTCATAGAAATGAGACTTTGAATCATTTAATGAATAATTATTGATTGTTGGTCATAACTTTATAGTGTGAGGATGTGAGGACTTTATTTTTTAGAAAACATGTTCTTCAATTTATCAGAGGTTTACATTTTGGGATTGTTTCTGTCTTTTAGACGAACCAGCGATTCAGGATGGCCTACACCCTCGTCCAGGACCCGGACTGGTCCAGCCCGAGGGTGATCCTGAGGAGGATCCCGTCTTCAGCCGGCTCTTCAGGAGGTTCATCACCGAGGTCCCGCCTGGAACTCCTCCTCGCTCTCCTTCCTCTCCTGCAGAGGTAATTATTCACTTGTTTCCTTTGAACTCAACAGTTGGTTTGTATTTCATCTCAAGAATGATTGAAATCTTTTTTTAAACCCTAAAGTAAATCACTGATCCTTAACAACTTGAAGTTTCAGTACAATTCTTGTTTATGACTTATCTTTTTACTGGTTAAAAACCTCAGTTTAGTTTGATTAATATTGTGTTGTGGAAGAAACTGTGAAAGAAGTTTGGTTCAGATAATTCATTTTTCATCCAAAAATCTTTGTGAGTGTGCACTTTGATCTTTTGATAGGTGAAGCACATCACACCAACAATAAACATAAAGGCTGACAGCCTGCCTACAAAACAATACAAATATGAACTACAGCAAATACTTGTAGAAATGTTTGTTTGAATGACTTAAAGGAACACTTCTTGAATGTTCTTTATAACTTCAGACTTTGAATGTTGAAATGTTGGTTTGTTTCTGTCTTCAGTGCTCCCACTGGACTGTCCACGACCCGGATCAGACCAGTCTGAGGATCAGACCAGCCTGAGGATCAGACCAGCGTGAGGATCAGACCGGCCTGAGGATCAGACCGGCCTGAGGCTCAGACCGGCCTGAGGCTCAGACCGGCCTGAGGATCAGACCGGTCTGAGGATCAGACCGGCCTGAGGATCAGACCGGCCTGAGGCTCAGACCGGCCTGAGGATCAGACCGGCCTGAGGATCAGACCGGCCTGAGGCTCAGACCGGCCTGAGGCTCAGACCGGCCTGAGGATCAGACCAGTCTGAGGGTCCCTGCAGCAGCCAGCTCTCCAGAACCGTCTCCACCCAGGTCCCCTTCTGTGTCTCCTCCTGCCTGTCCCTCTAACTGCTTGATCCTTGACCTTCAAGTGAGCTCCTCCTCTTCTTCCTCCTCTTCCTCCTCTTCCTCCTTCTCACCCTCCTCTTCCACCTTCCCCTCCTCCCTCCTCCCCTCCTCCCCTCCTCCCCTGCCTTCTCTTTCTCCTCCTCTCCCTCCTCTTCCTACCTCCTCCCCTCCCTCCTCCACTCCCTCCTTCTCTCCCTCCTCTCCCTCCTCCTCTCCTCCTCCACTCCCTCCTCTCCCTCCTTCTCTCCCTCCTCCCCTCCCTCCTCTCCCTCCTTCTCTCCCTCCTCCCCTGCCTTCTCTTTCTCCTCCTCTCCCTCCTCTTCCTACTCCTCCTCCCCTCCCTCTTCACTCCCTCCTTCTCTCCCTCCTCTCCTCCTCCTCCCTCCTCCTCCCTCCTCTCCCTCCTTCTCTCCCTCCTCTTCCTCCTCCCTGCCTCCTCTTTCTCCTTTTCTCGCTCCTCTTGTTACTCCGTCCTCTACTCCGCCCTTCTCTCCCTCCTCACCTCCTTCCTCTCCCTCCTCTTCCTCCTCCCCTCCTCCCCCTGCCTCCTCTTTCTCCTTCTCTTGCTCCTCTCTCCTCCCCCCTTCTCCTTCTCTCCCTCCTCTTCCTCCTTCCCCTCCTCCCCCTCTCCCTGCCTTCTCTTTCTCCTCCTCTCCCTCCTCTTCCTACTCCCTCCTCCTTCTCTCCTCCTCCTCTCCTCCTTCTCTCCCTCCTCCTCTCCCTCCTCTCCCTCCTCCTCTCCCTCCTTCTCTCCCCACTCCCTCCTCTCCCTCCTTCTCTCCCTCCTCCCCTCCCTCCTCTCCCTCCTTCTCTCCCTCCTCACCTCCTTCCTCTCCCTCCTTCTCTCCCTCCTCTTCCTCCTTCTCTCCCTCCTCTTCCTCCTCCCCCCTCCCCCCCTCCTCCCTCCTCCCCTGCCTCCTCTTTCTCCTTCTCTTGTTCCTCTTGTTCCTCCTCCCTCCTCCTTCTCTTCATCAGAAGAGACCGGCTGCACGGGTGGAAGGAGAGCCTCCACGGATGCGTCCTCACTAGAGATAATCTCCTGTGCTGAGTATAATATGATAAGATAGAATAAGATAAGTTAAGTTTAGATAAGTTCAGATAAGTTAAGTTCAGATAAGATATTCTTGCAGACTAAGGTTGTGATGTGTGATGTAGTTTTCTTTCTTTAGCTCTTTGGCATTTGATAACATCTCGCTCCTCTTTAGCTCCACCCTCTCCTCCAAATATGGTCACAGAAGAAAAAGTTGAATTTGAAAAATATATTTCAGCATTATAATAAGCATCTCCAGCATACGTCGTGGTCCTCATATAGCGCTCCTCCTCAGCTCCTCCCTCTCCTCAAAACATGGTCACCTGTGGCTCCAGGTAACAAAAGGCTTAAAAAGGCAACAAACCAAAGTTTACATCACAGTGGATACATCCATTTTAACGCTCTATGGTTGTGATGTGCTGTGATGTTATAACTCTTCTATAATGTGAAGAAAACTAGCTAATTTAGCAGCTAATGAATTAATAAGAGGTCCCGACTAACATCTTCATTTGCTCACTTTTTGCTCCTCACCAGCTCCTCCTCTCCTCCAAAAATCACAAAAATGTGAAAATGAAAGACCCAGGATTTCATTGAATTATTTTAACACTGTGCTCATGGTATCAGTGTCTTTACTCACTGTACCTGGTATATTGTGTTGTTCTGTGTTTTAACACTGTGCTCATGGTATCAGTGTATTTACTCACTGTACCTGGTATATTGTGTTGTTCTGTCTTTTAACACTGTGCTCATGGTATCAGTGTCTTTACTCACTGTACCTGGTATATTGTGTTGTTCTGTGTTTTAACACTGTTACATTGTTTGGTCGTGTAACTTGGCTTTTGCCAGCGCTTCGCTCCTCTTCAGCTCCACCGTCATATTCAAACATGGTCACCTCCGTCTCCAGGTAACAAAAGGCTTTGACATGGCAACAAAAGAATGAGTTCTATTACAGTGGGATCATTTATTCATTTAACAAATCTATGGTTGTGATGTAATGTTTTGTTATCTCTATCTTTAGGCAGCTAATGAGTTAGCCACATGCTAAATAAGCATTTGCTAACCTCTGCTCCTCTCCAGCTCCTCCTCCAGCATTATACTGAACATCTCTGAAGTTGTTCTCATGTAGCGCTCCTCCTCAGCTCCACCCTCTCCTCAAGTCACCTGTGTCTCCAGGTAACAACGGGCTTTAAAAAGGCAACAAACCAATGAGTTATATCACAGTGACAGCATCTATTCATGTTATTATGAACTTCTGGTTGCTCTCGCTGTAGCCACATATCAGTGTGTTTACTCACTGAACATCAGTCTTGTTTAGTGTTTGTCATTTATTGTTGCAGCTCTTGTTTGAGATCATCAACTAACAACGGGCTCAGACTGTCTGCTAACTTTTTGATATGTTTCTGTTGGTAACCTCTGCTCCTCTTTGACTCCTCCTCTCATCCAAATACAGTAAACTCTGGCTCTTAAGACCTTAACAATAGAAAACTGGAAACTTGAAAACATAGTCAGGGGATATTAATGTGATGTTGGAATTTTTTCAGATTTGATGTTTTTTCACATGCTGTTGTGTTATTGTGTAAATATGTAATGTTGTGTTATATTACGTCATGTGTTGTCTTGTGTTTTGTTGTGTTGTTGTTTGATTCTTTTCAGATATTATGTTTCTATATTATATTGTGTTTGTGTTATGTGGTGTTATTCATGTCATGTGTTGTCTTGTTTGTGTTTTGTTTTGTTGTGTCTTGTTGTGCCTTGTTGTGTCTTTGTGTGTTACGTTGTGTTGTGATGTGTTGTCTTGTTGTGTTTTGTTGTGTCTTGTTGTGTCTTGTTGTGTCTTTGTGTGTTACGTTGTGTTGTGATGTGTTGTCTTGTTGTGTTTTGTTGTGTCTTGTTGTGTCTTGTTGTGTCTTTGTGTGTTACGTTGTATTGTCATGTGTTGTCTTGTTGTGTCTTGTTGTGTTTTGTTGTGTCTTGTTGTGTTTTGTTGTGTCTTTGTGTTATGTTGTGTTGTGATGTGTTGTCTTGTTTGTGTTGTGTTTTGTTGTGTTTTGTTGTGTCTTGTTGTGTCTTTGTGTGTTACGTTGTGTTATCATGTGTTGTCTTGTTGTGTTTTGTTGTGTCTTGTTGTGTCTTGTTGTGTCTTTGTGTTATGTTGTGTTGTGATGTGTTGTCTTGTTGTGTTTTGTTGTGTTTTGTTGTGTCTTGTTGTGTCTTTGTGTGTCTTTGTGTGTTACGTTGTGTTGTGATGTGTTGTCTTGTTGTGTTTTGTTGTGTCTTGTTGTGTCTTTGTGTGTCTTTGTGTGTTACGTTGTGTTGTCATGTGTTGTCTTGTTTGTGTTTTGTTTTGTTTTGTCTTGTTGTGTCTTGTTGTGTCTTTGTGTGTTACGTTGTGTTGTGATGTGTTGTCTTGTTGTGTTTTGTTGTGTCTTGTTGTGTCTTTGTGTGTTACGTTGTGTTGTGATGTGTTGTCTCGTCATGTGATGTGATCTGATGTGATGATTAATGATGTCACATAATATCAGGTCATGTGATGTGAGCTACATTTTGTTTCATCAAAATGAACTTTTTGGTTCATTGAATGTCCCAGCGTCTCTTTGATTCATTCCCTCAGCGGACAGGTGGGATCTAAAAAAGGTGAGTTTGATTCCTACACAATGTTTGTTTTCAGCATGGAATCCTTTTTGATTCTTTTTTGTTTGTTTTTTTCCTTTAGGAACAGGAGGTGAAATCTAAAGAAGAGCCGTGAACAACAGAACAGAGGAGACAGGAAGCAGCACAGAGGACACAGACAGGATGAGGCTGAATGAACAGACCGACAACGAGAGAGAAGAAGAAAAGATGAGAGACAAGTGTCAATGGTAACTTCATGAAAACAGCTCTGAATATATTCATAAGAAAACATGGCTCACTTTGAGGAACATTTCTCTGACATTAGATGAACTTCATTTGATTTGTGATGTATGTTCACTAAACCATTGTTTGTTTGTTTCAGCTGAGACCTCAAAGCAAACAGAGGAGTCCATTTAAAGAGGAGACGGACGAGTTTGGAGACAACAAGAGGTCGGCACCATATTTAGAATCAGCTGCAAAAACAGAGTTTGCAAATCAAATCTGAATAAATATAGATCTCAACTGTTGGTATTTTCTTTTTATTTTGATGTAGGGGTCATTTATATATCCTTAATAATATCACCTTATTAAGGAAAAAACAGGTTTTCTGAAAAATGTTTAATATCCTGACTCTGAATTATTTACTTTTAAGTTCATGTTTTGCTGCTGTTATCATACCCAATATGATGCAATCGTGAAATCCAACAGAGGAGTTGATCAAATTTCCAATTTCAAGTACATATTTGAGATTGTGAGAACACAAACATTGTGAGAACAAGGTGAGAGAGAGCGTCTGTCCTGAGAAGAGGATTATATGGATGAGGACTACACCGGGCCAAGGTGCAGCTCATCCCCTGATTACGACCCCGCCTTGACCTGAACCTGTAACAGAACAAACAAGCAGCACGGTGTGGAGGGCTCAAAACAAACAAAGAAACAAAGTGTTTTTAACGACACGTTGACAATATTTGCTGTAAAAAAAGAAAAAGGTCTATTCAATCTTCAGGAACTCTTTTTCACAACAAAGTCAAAGAAATGATTACTCGTGTATTAATCCTTGTTTCTTTCCAACACACACAAAGATGTTCTTTGTGTTCAAAACAAATAAACTTCTGTAACAAATATCCCCTTTCATAGCTCTGATTTCCAGGAAAATGATTGTGCAAGTCCAGGACATTACAGACCAACTGCATTAAAATGTGCACAATAATGGAGAAGATGATCAATTACATGTTTACATGGTAAATAAAGGATACATGTGTAAATGTGGTTTAAGGAGAGGATCCAGCTTAATGTTTGGAACATGATATTAGGAAAGTACATGTAAGCAGTAGATTGAAACTAAGACACAATAGGAAATAGACAATGGGAAAACATAAGATAAAGAAAGTTCAAATTACGAGGTAAAAAATGTTGGCCAAATGAGAAAAGCCAAAGTCAAAACAGTGTGATAAAAAAATGAATTGAGATAGAAAGTCAGATTTACATCAAAATGTAAAAAATGTCACAAGACAACAACCATCATTCTGAAATGTAAAAAAATCTATCGCATGTCTACGACAGTGTCACAATATTAACTCACAACGGGGAAACATTTCCATCTTAAGCAGGGTCCTGTGTTTTGTTGATATTTGCTGAATTTTCAAAAAGAAAATACTACAGTAGTTCAAATGGAATAAAAAGGTCCTTGCACATCTTAAAAGTTTGCCCATGAAGGCAGAACAGCAACAAGGCAGGACTAAGCCTTGCACAGATGGGCAAGAAACTGTCAGGAAGTGGAAAACAAGGAACTGGACCCAAATGCAGATATGGAAGTAAAATATTGAATTAAACAAAAAGACAAAAAAAATAAAAATAAAAAAAAGTTCAAAATCCGAAAAGGGAAACAAGGAGCCACTAGGCAAACACTGGGAGTCACTCAGAAGCACAGGTAAGTATTTCTTTTATTATTATTATTATTATTATTATTAGGTGCAATAGCGTGACAAACTGGGGACATATGACAAAAAAACAAACAGACAAGGTCAGGACAGCTATGACAAAATACAATAAAATAAATAAAGACAGCAAAATACTGAGACATGCATGAGTTGCATATGAAATATATAAATCAGTATGAGCATCTATAAAGAGCTATATGTTGATGTTTGGAGCCATGGTGACTGGTGGTCTTCTATATTCTAAATAAGTATCTTAAGAGATATAAGTTTTATCTTTGCTATCATGAATTACATGAACTACATACCTCACTGTGATTTCACTGAGGTATGTAGAAATGATGACACATGGCATATGAATACAAGGGGGTTTGGCTACATATTAAACCCATCCTACGATTTCATTTTTGTAGGAAAATATGCAGCAAACAAGGCGTTGGTACTTGGATTGGCCGGCTCACGGACTAATAGAGTTCACTGATTGGCTCACTTACAAACTCATCAAATCACTCAAAGACAACAACAGAAATTTAACCTTTAGAAGTGACTTGATCAGACAGCTAGATATGATTGTATTTGTTATGTTTCACTCATCTTCTTTAGGCTTAAAATGATATCTAACTATCTTTCAATAACTTTATATTTTGAGTTACACCTCCACTGCATATATGTTCATTTTAAAATAAAGGAATGTGTCATAGTTAAACCTGGGCTACACTTAACAATATCATCAAGCAGACGTCCTAAAGAAACATTATAGTGTTTTTTTACCCAGCCATTCATTCCACTCTATCACAATCAGGTGATCTCTTAGCAGGTCCTCTGTGTGATTCCCTGAGTCTTCCGATGGTCTCCTTCTAATTAACATTAACTTAAAGGTTTGGAAAATAAAGTGTTTTAAATACTGTTATTGGTGTGTCAACAATTAATCTTATAGAGGTCATCTATGAAACATTTAATGGGGGGCACAAAAATGGCGTGGATAATAATTGTAGATGGTTTATAAACCAATTATTAATCATTGATAAAATATTAATTATCTATCTAAAACATATTTATAGATGCTTTAAAAAGTATTAGTAAGGGATTATAATCTTCAATTCCAACTTTATAATAACCATCCAAATAATGTTAATAGACACTTAAAAAAATATTTACAAACCATGAAGAAATATCTGGTCCATGTATCTCTGTAATGTTTATAGATGTTTTCTAAACCATCTCTTAAAGGTTTATAAATCATTTGGTCATCATTAACAAACATTTCATAAAATGTATGAAACGTTATAATGTGTGCATCAATAAACTGTTAACATAACATAAATTATAGCATTACAAACCATTAGCAAACATTATTAACAATCATTTAATTGTTAATTAACAGTAAATAACTATTAACTAATGGTTAATTTACTATCTATTTACCCTTTTTTACCCTTTATAGATGATGGGTATTATAAAGTGTTACCCAACACTTTTATATGTAATGAAGTATTTTTACAGCGTTGTATTAGCACTTTGACATACTGTCTGTAAAGGATCTGAACATCTGCCACTGGTTTTAGTTTCAGGCCGTGTTAGAACTTGAACAATCTGAATTCATGTAGAAACAGAAAGATATAAACCTGATCATATGAAGGCTGCTGCCTGATCATTGTGTTTTTGAATATGCTGACTTAAATTAAAGGTAAACACTCCACAGTGCATACCTGAGTCAAACTGCTTCCTCATCTTCAGAAAAGGATTGTGCGCCTACTAAATCTCTATAAATGAGTCAAATTACATCATTTGATTCAAAAAACACAAACAAAGGCTTGAACGCTCCCGTTACTGTGCTGCAGAGCAAACTGTCCCCCGGTGCTTGTTGCACATATTTAAATGAGCAGTTATGCAGTGCACAGATATTCCACCACAGGGCAGAAGAAATGCACCATAGGACCTGTGTTTGGCACATCAGAAATAGCAAAAATCCACCAGAGACACAGATGTGATTTACATGGATATTCTTGCTAATTTGGAAAAAAATGAAAGCAAGGCAACATTCAAATTGAAACTGAAACTTTGTTATTTTCTGGATTCATTTTTAATATGAAACCTGTTGTAACACAATAACACATTAATGATTGGATGTTTTCATGGATTACTTGCTCATGTTTTTCCTTTCCTTATTAATTTCCCCTAAAAACTGATACATTTGGAAAAGAAATACAAAAACCTTTCTATTTTGGCTTTATTTTTTAGATCGTAAAATCATAAAGAAACTAAAAATGCAACAAAATGATTTTGTTTTTAAATATATTCTAAATCAGTATATTACATACATAAATGCTGTAAATGTGCCACCTCCATTGTCCCAGTGCCGAAACACTCCAGCCCGACAGGCCTGAACGACTACCGCCCTGTGGCACTCACACCCATCATAATGAAGTGCTTTGAGCGACTGGTCCTAGCACACCTGAAAAACTGCCTCCCACCCACACTGGACCCATTCCAGTTTGCCTACCGCAGCAATAGGAGTACAGAGGATGCAGTCTCCACTGCGCTGCACTCTGTGCTCACTCATCTGGACAATAACAACACATACGCACGAATGCTGTTTGTTGATTTTAGCTCAGCATTCAACTCTGTCATCCCCTCCAAGTTGAACACTAAACTCGGAGACCTGGGCTTCAACTCCTCCCTCCGTCACTGGATAATGGACTTTCTGACCAACAGACCCCAGTATGTTAGGTCAGGACACACCTGCTCCACCACCATCACACTCAACACAGGCGTACCACAGGGCTGTGTGCTGAGCCCATTCCTCTACTCCCTCTTCACCCACGACTGCAGACCTGTACATGGATCCAACACCATCATCAAGTTTGCAGACGATACAGCGGTGATTGGCCTCATCAGCAACAACGATGACACGGCCTACAGGGAGGAGGTACAGCATCTGGCCGCCTGGTGTGCTGACAACAACCTGCTCCTCAACACCAGCAAGACGAAGGAGATCATCGTGGACTTCAGGAGAGAAAGAGGAAGCACGCACAACCCCATTCACATCAACGGGATGGCTGTTGAACGTGTCTCCAGCTTCAAGTTCCTGGGAACCCACATCACAGAGGACCTCTCCTGGTCCACTAACACCTCCAGTCTGGTTAAGAAGGCTCATCAACGCCTCTTTTTCCTGAGGACACTGAAGAGACACCACCTGTCTTCAGCTGTACTGATGAACTTCTACCGCTGTGTGATCGAGAGCATCCTGACCAGCAGTGTCTCAGTCTGGTACGGAAACTGCTCTGTCGCAGACCGTAAGGCGCTACAGCGGGTGGTAAAAACCGCCCAGCGCATCACAAGGTGTCCACTTCCGGCCATTGAGGATGTCCAAAGAACACGCTGTCTGCGGCGAGCTCACGGCATTCTTAAAGACTCCTCCCACCCTGCCCACAGACTGTTTACCCTCCTGCCCTCCGGCAGGCGCTTCAGAAGCCTCCGGACCAGAACCAACAGACTGAGAAACAGCTTTTTCCCAAGAGCTGTTTCTCTACTGAACTCTACCCCCCGAACTCTGAACTCTGTCTCTCTCTCTCTCTCCCTCTCTCTCTCCGCACCCTGCTGACCCCCCTTTCCCTCCATATCACCTCACTCCCCGAACTCTGTATTCTGTCTCTCTCTCTCCCTGTATTCGAACTCTGTATTCTGTCTCTCTCTCTCTCTCCCTCTCTCTCTCCGCACCCTGCTGACCCCCCTTTCCCCTCCATATCACCTCACACCCATCATCCCCCCACCTCTCCTCCTGGTCACACACACACATCTCTCATCCATCTGTATTATTGTATTATAGTACGTTCATATTCTGTAAATTATCTGTAAACTGTATAACATGCTCACTGCATCTTAATCTGTAAATTATTAGTATAGCATGCTCACTGCATCTTAATCTGTACATTATTAGTATAGCATGCTCACTGCATCTTAATCTGTATATTATTAGTATAGATGCTCACTGCATCTTAATCTGTATATTATAATCCTAAGAACACACTTATTTTGTAGCATTACTTATTTATAGCATTTATTTATTTTTATTGCATCCCATTAATCCAGCCATCCAGATATACCTCATAATTCACTTTTTTTTGGCTACATCTGTAAATTTTGCAATTACTGTACATAGCACAGAATCACTGTACATAGCACAGAATTACTGTACATAGCACAGACTCTTGCACTCAATTACTGTACATAGCACAGACTCTTGCACTTTCTGCTTATTTGCACTTCTGGTGAGATGCCAAACCTCATTTCGTTACGCTATACCTGTATATGTGTAATGACAATAAAGTTGAATCTCATCTCAATCTCATCTCAAATATGATACAAGACCAAATGTTTAAATGCAATGAGTATTTCATGTTCTTTTTTTTTTTAAAAGGTCCAACAATGTCTCCAGATTCAAACAATTTTCTGATAATTGTTTTGATGTTTGAGGACCAAAATAGTGACTAAGAAGGAGTTGGGACGGTGCACAATTCTTTTTTCGAAATGACCTTGTTCTTTTGATTAAAATAGACTGTCAGTTCAACAGTGTCCACCAGAGGGAGCTCAACACTTTGCTCTGTCAGTAGATCAGACTGATGACATCATGCCAGAAGAAACATGAGAGGCATCAGGCTGGATTCAATGATGACACATGGGTAAGTGTAAACAGCTGTGCATTTAAAAACATATGGATAAACCTTGATAAAGGAAATGACTTATATATATATGAATAAATAAATAAATATGTTGTTTTAACAATAAATATAAGATGAACAAGAAGCAAACAACTGAAAAAAGACAAAACTGAAGTCCTGCTGTAAGTTTTCTTTAAATCTGTTTTCATCCAATATTTTTCTCTGTTGAAAACAAATCTCAGAAAAGAGTAAAACCCAAAAGGATGTAGGCTGGAGTGTTCAGACACAGCATGAGGTGCTGAGCAGCCTGTGAAAAAGATTTCTCAAACCGAACACAGACATGTTCTAAAAGCTTAGAAAAATAATTTCCTCTGCCTCCATAAAGAGCCATCTGTGGTCAGTTCGGCACAGATTCCCACTGAGCTCTGTGTGACTGCTGTGTAATTAGCTCAACATGTCGCCCACAACGTCTCAGCAATATGGAGATATGTTGGCCTTTTATGAATTATCATATCAGCCAGTCATCCAACTTATGTAACAGAGGTTTCTGCCGGACCACAGTACCAAAAAATAAAACCTTAATTAACTGATTTAATGACATTCTTATGTCTCTGGGTGAAAGGTTTTTTTTTTTTTACTTTCGTGCAACCTGTGGACACTACTACTTCCCTGCAGCTGAGATTTAAAACTCACCTGCCTATGATCCACCTGCTATTCTCCCTGAGGACCTTTGACTTGGTTCTTTAAGAGAAACCTGAAGCCCTGCTCAGTCACCATATGAAAAGCCTCTGTTCTGGTCCTGCATACTGGTTGGTGACCGCAGAAAGAGGGGGAGGCTCGTCTCCTTTCCATCCTTTCATACTCCAGCAACCCCTCACACTGAGCTAGCAAGTGAGTCTGCAAACCTATGATTAAGTTTAACTAATGTCACTCTTACATTTCCACCTGCCCATCATCTTTAGACATATTAAAATGTATACATATTAACACGTGTTAAAAGATGGACGACATGAAAGTTCACCAAAAATTAAGCCAAAACATTCAGAGCTCCCTCTGCTGACTGGCTGAAGTATAGATTTTAAAGGCTTTATATACAACTTTTTGATCCATCAGATGTCGCCCTTGAGCACCAGCATGAAACCAAAACAACTCGCGCTGCATTGTTGTGTTAGCATGCTAATGCTAGCGATCTTTATTATGCTCGTATCTTCACACTACATGTAAATTTACCTGAAATGAGCGTGATCTAGAAACACAGTTAAGCAGTGAGTACAGTATGTTATTCTTCTTTTCTCTAGTCCCTCAATTAAACAACTTTTATACACGAGGGGAGGAGTCAGCCGGCCGGCTGTCCTGACAATGTAAACAAACTGAAGCTACGGCTAGAAAAGACAGTGGGACTCGAGTGTTACACTCATTGTAGACAGTCATGACTCACAGTTATTATAGAGTTATTTTCAGAGGCTATACTTGATTTATATTACATTTAAGTGTGAAAAATCGCATAAAAAGCCTTTAAGCTCCTCCGTGCTACGAGATGGGACATGGGTCAAACGATAAAATCAAAATACATGCCAAATCAACTTTTCTCAGATATGGCTTCTGTCATTATAGTTAGTCTTGCCATGATAATTTATGTCCAAGGGCTCATTTTCTGAAAAGTTTAACTCTAATTAGTCTTTTAATAGTGGTATAAGTGGTATAACAACAAGATTGAGAGCTCTGTTGACAAATGAGGCAGCTGTGTTCACTGGATAATCAGTGTCTGACGTGGTCATATTTTGGCTTCATTTTTGTATGACAAGAGGAAATGGAGACATAACAGTCTGTTTACAGTCAATGATCTTGACATGTTCGTGCATTGGTCCATTGCTGACCGGTTCATAAATGATTGATGTTCCTGATAGTAGTCCCTAGCACAATGGCTCCACCAGGGGCGCCATATAAGGAAGAAAAGTTAGGGTTATAGTCAGGGCCTTCCGCTGACAGGGGCGCTAACAATGTTACAACAGTAGTTCATCTCTTCTCAATATTAAATCCTTTTCATTTTTATTTAGGGTTATAAATCTTTGGCTCCACCATGATCAAAGGTTAACTCTAAACCAGGTTTGGAACAACCAACAGCATTTTTTATGTCCCTGTCCTGATTAGAAACAGACAGCTCCAATTGAATATTAGGATTCACTGTTCTGATTACACTCATTTGATATAGCTTGTAATTGTGTTTACATTTTTCAACCATTAAGCAAGCTGATTATGTAATGTTGTGCTTTACGCTCGTCAGCAAAGGAGTACCCCAGGGATCTATTCTAGGACTCCTTCTGTTTATATTAAATATACAGTAAACAGTATTTCTGCAACATGAGCATTGTCATACATGTCACTGTGTTATGGTTCACCCATAGCAGCCCCTCCCTTCCTCATGTATGTTGTTAGTTTTTCTCTGTCTGTCTCAACCCTCTGTTTCTCCTCCCCTGTGTGTCAGGTGTGCATGGCTGTGTGTGTGTGTGTGTGAGTGCAGGTGGGCGTGGTTTTCTCCACAGGCAGCCCAGGTGCAGACAATCAACCTCATCATCATCAAGAGTTTATCTACTCCAGTCTTTCCCCACTCGTCGCCTGAGTATACAATATCTCTCTATGGTATTATCCTCGTTTGGCTCTCATCTTTGATTATAGTTCTGTGTGAACTACTCCTGTATGTTGCTTGTTGCTAACCTCTGTGTCTCTCTGCCTCAGTGTCCTGTGTTTCGTGCTCGTGTCTGCCTGCCTGATCACTGGCCTGCCTGCTTGCTTGTTGTCGTTTCTCCCTTGAGGATTTTTGGACACCTGTTTCCAGTTCCCTTTTTGGCATTGTGTTTTCGTTGCACAATTAAAGAACTGTTTGGATTGTGCTTCTGTATTTGGAGTCGTGGTTTTTTTGTCCGTACTCGTGCCGAGTCGTAACACACTGTGTGTTATAGCTTTATATTCACATCCTTTTATCTTACAAAATGCAAGTATATGCATTCAATGTGATTACACAAACAGTACTCAAGAAGTATTACTAAAGCTGCTTTTACACTTGCACAGGACTCCTGAAAAACTCCTGTTTTCGGGACTAGCTGCATCTGTGAATGCAAACAGCCAAATTTTTCACTTGGTATTTATTCTTTCTCCTGCCAGTCCCCTAGTGTATTTTCCTGAAAACAATTTTTTACGACCATAGACTAAATGCATGCGGCCGGTACGATCTCCATGTATGATATTAAACTTCTTTTATGTTTTCTTTACAGCAGAATGTTCTTCTCTGCTCTTTTGTTTATAATGTGATTAGGTCGAACTACAGGTAACATTGATTTAAAGGGAAATAATCTCATAATAGTGTTGTATGTTGCTTTGTCCACCTCTTCCTTGTTGTTCTTTTTAAGTCATGTCTTACCTCAGGAGACTTCTCTCCCTCCCGTAAAATAGGGATAGTCTCATGCTGTGAGGTGCATGTGTGAACAACCACATCAGAAGGATTTCCGATGGAAATTCTCTAGAAATTTTCAAGCGTATTTGTGAAAATGGCTTAAGACGCTGAATATGTTTACATGATCATAAAACATTTTTTTATTTCATATGTCAGTCTGGCTAAAACTTACATTTTTAGAATAAATGTGAACATTTACAGTTAGTCAAACTGAAATCATACTTAGTCAAATTTCTCAAAGTTGGACTAATGCACCTAAATACTGTGGTTAGGCGTTGCATGAATGAACTCCAATTGGACGTGAACTGGCCTAGGCGTTCTCAGCTCCATCATTCTCACACTGGGCTTTGACCCCAAACATGAACCGCATAAACGTGTAGAAGAGAGGGAAACAAGCACACAATTAAGGTATCAATATGACGATTACTGGAGCTAGAACCACACATATTTGGGCAGACGAGGAGACACCCAACATGTTGGACACAGGAGCTGAAGGAGTTAAAGTGATGCGGGATAGGTTTCTGTTTTACAGAGTGATTGAACAACGTGTGTGGGTGTGTGAGTTTGGTGGGGGGGTTGTAGGTTTCAAAAACTTACAGGAATGGTCAAACAGAAAGGTGTGGGGGAGGGGGATCAAAGCTAGTCAACCATCCGACAAGCACTTGTGAAGAAGCAGACCAACAGCCTCCTCTCATCTGGTTTCAGGACTTTCACTGGTTTTGGAACCTGGCTGCAGGGATTAGACACCAAATGGCCCTAAGTGTATAAGAAAGGACATTGATAATAGATTATAAGACTTGGACTCAAGTCCCTTTAAGAATATTCTTAAGGTGTTGCTTCAAGTTCTTCCCATAAAGAATAGGATAGTAACTTCTCCATGGGCAGGGCTTTGTGTCAGATTGGAACTGTTGCCAAAAAGGTGCACAAATATTACAATTGCTCCAGCAGGTTTCTTCAGCCTGCAGCACTGACATGGTGTTTTTGCTGGGATATTATCAAAGGGTATATAACATGGACATAGTCTCCATTCGTCAACCATGACAGTCGCCATGTTGGAATTGCTGACTCTGCAAACTTTAGATGAATCAAGAAACTGTCGAACAGCTACAACACACCCACCTGAGCAATGTGTACCAATAAAGACAAAAGCTATAGTGAAAACTTCTATCTTTCTAGATCACTTCAGTAATATTGTCAGACACTTAAAATAACACTCTGAGCCTGTCAGTCACAAAATCAACACATCTTTAACAGATACATTTGGATTTAGTTCATGTATCCTAAACGGCAACCTGCGGCGAAGGAAAATGAGGCCAATGCAGAAGTGCAACAGAAAATGCAGTTTCTCAAGTGTCCTCTTGAGCTCTCTGCAAAAGCAATGGCATCCCAGTAGGTCCCATATTAAATGTCAAATTTGCAGCAGAAAGAAACATTTGTACATCCTGGTTCAAAAATGTATCGATTACATAACTCTCATCAGAGACATGAGACTAAATTGATAAAAACAGTGGGTTAAACCTACCTAAATTCCCAATTAAGACTTGCTTAATGTGGAGAAAGAAAGCCAATGTAGAAGTGCAAAAGACTGCAGTTCCTCAATTACCCACTTGAGGCTAGCTCTAAAAGCTATGGAAGTCACATACACACCCATTTTAAAATGTCTGTTTGACAGCAGATATAGAAACAAGTTTCCAGCCTGGTGTAAAAAAGTGATTTTTGGTTTGTTCACTGTACAGGGTGGATTTTTTCTTGTAACTTATCTGTTCTGATTTTATGAAGGACACAAACCTTCATTTAGAGCGGTATCTGACTGCAAGCAGTGGTGCTGTAGCTGTTTGCCAGGAGGCTTGAGGCCCACCTCAGCTCCATCTCTTTGTTTGCTACTATGAATCAAGGAAAAGCAGACCAAAGATCAAACTGAAGTACAGTATACCGTATTGTCATTAGTGTTCATATTGTAAATCAAGTAAATGTTTGACACAATTTGTTGCCTTCAGACTCCTCAGAATGAAGGCTCTAAAAGACCTGCATCACTATTTTTCAAGATTTATTCTTGGGCTTTCTATGCCTTCATTAGAGTGAACAGCTGAGAGTGGGAAATCAGAGAATGGGGAATAACATGCAAAAAGAACAGCGATAGGACTTGAACCTGGGCCACCGGCTTGGAGGACTTAAGAGGTCTACATTGAGATGAATTTGTCAGTGGCTGTTTTCACATCAAAAATGATTTTCTACACACCTCACGTAATTAGTCAGCACTCTTACAAAAGGGGATGTCCAAACATCTGCAGTACAACGCATCAATAAGGCTAACTCCATCTTCTGCATCTTTCTGCAGGTTTACAGACCTACAAACTTTAAACCACATTAGTGGCTCAAAATGTACAAAGTTTGCAATAACAGTAGGAAACCTCCCTAAGGAGGCCCCACCTGACAGCACACACTTATTGCTTGAGGGCGTTGATGAGCATTGGCTTAATATTGTGGTGATTCATTAATTTCTTTAAAAAACTATTACTATTAAAACTATTAAACTATAACTAAGTTTTTATTGAAGCTATTTACAACATGTTCTTTTTCTACATATAACACTTTACTGATTTGAGCACAGATATCAATAAGTAAACTTCTTGTACTGCTAACTGGATACATTTCTATTGTTTTCTTGTGATCTCGACTTATTTATCTCCACATTTTAAGAAACCAATAGCTAACTTACTTTCAGTCGTTTACTAAAGACCTGAAGAAATTCACATGAAAACTAGCGTTGTTATCGTGTGATAAAGAGATCTTTTTTCCTGTTCATTTTTTCATTACATGTTTAATGGTAGGGGTCTTTTGATCCCACTAATCACTAATCAGTGACACTTATTTGTATTCTTCTCATTTATTTATGTATTCATTCTTTTTACTTTTTACTTTGTGTTTTAAAAAGTTCACTCCTTTAAACCTAAAATGAAAAACATTTTCTTCTATGTAGAATAAAACTAGAACATGAAAAAAAGAGTGGTTTGAATAATAGTGTTGTTATAATAAAGAGGAGTTATAATAAAGTGAGTTATAATAAAGAGGGGTTATAATAAAGTATGGTTATAATAAAGTATGGTTATAATAAAGAGGGGTTATAATAAAGTATGGTTATAATAAAGAGGGGTTATAATAAAGAGGAGTTATAATAAAGTATGGTTATAATAAAGTATGGTTATAATAAAGTATGGTTATAATAAAGAGGAGTTATAATAAAGTATGGTTATAATAAAGAGGAGTTATAATAAAGTATGGTTATAATAAAGTATGGTTATAATAAAGAGGAGTTATAATAAAGTATGGTTATAATAAAGAGGAGTTATAATAAAGAGGACTTATAATAAAGAGGAGTTATAATAAAGTATGGTTATAATAAAGTATGGTTATAATAAAGAGGGGTTATAATAAAGAGGAGTTATAATAAAGAGGGGTTATAATAAAGTATGGTTATAATAAAGTATGGTTATAATAAAGAGGAGTTATAATAAAGAGGAGTTATAATAAAGAGGGGTTATAATAAAGTATGGTTATAATAAAGTATGGTTATAATAAAGAGGGGTTATAATAAAGAGGAGTTATAATAAAGAGGGGTTATAATAAAGTATGGTTATAATAAAGTATGGTTATAATAAAGAGGGGTTATAATAAAGAGGAGTTATAATAAAGAGGGGTTATAATAAAGTATGGTTATAATAAAGAGGAGTTATAATAAAGTATGGTTATAATAAAGTATGGTTATAATAAAGAGGGGTTATAATAAAGTATGGTTATAATAAAGAGGAGTTATAATAAAGAGGGGTTATAATAAAGTATGGTTATAATAAAGAGGGGTTATAATAAAGAGGAGTTATAATAAAGTATGGTTATAATAAAGAGGGGTTATAATAAAGTATGGTTATAATAAAGAGGAGTTATAATAAAGTATGGTTATAATAAAGTATGGTTATAATAAAGAGGGGTTATAATAAAGAGGAGTTATAATAAAGTATGGTTATAATAAAGTATGGTTATAATAAAGTATGTTTATAATAAAGAGGGGTTATAATAAAGAGGAGTTATAATAAAGTATGGTTATAATAAAGAGGAGTTATAATAAAGTATGGTTATAATAAAGTATGGTTATAATAAAGAGGGGTTATAATAAAGTATGGTTATAATAAAGAGGAGTTATAATAAAGAGGAGTTATAATAAAGAGGAGTTATAATAAAGTATGGTTATAATAAAGTATGGTTATAATAAAGTATGTTTATAATAAAGAGGGGTTATAATAAAGAGGAGTTATAATAAAGTATGGTTATAATAAAGAGGAGTTATAATAAAGTATGGTTATAATAAAGTATGGTTATAATAAAGTATGGTTATAATAAAGAGGGGTTATAATAAAGTATAGTTATAATAAAGAGGAGTTATAATAAAGTATGGTTATAATAAAGAGGAGTTATAATAAAGAGGAGTTATAATAAAGAGGAGTTATAATAAAGTATGGTTATAATAAAGTATGGTTATAATAAAGAGGGGTTATAATAAAGAGGAGTTATAATAAAGAGGGGTTATAATAAAGTATGGTTATAATAAAGTATGGTTATAATAAAGAGGGGTTATAATAAAGAGGAGTTATAATAAAGAGGGGTTATAATAAAGTATGGTTATAATAAAGTATGGTTATAATAAAGTATGGTTATAATAAAGAGGGGTTATAATAAAGAGGAGTTATAATAAAGAGGGGTTATAATAAAGTATGGTTATAATAAAGAGGAGTTATAATAAAGTATGGTTATAATAAAGTATGGTTATAATAAAGAGGGGTTATAATAAAGTATGGTTATAATAAAGAGGAGTTATAATAAAGAGGGGTTATAATAAAGTATGGTTATAATAAAGAGGGGTTATAATAAAGAGGAGTTATAATAAAGTATGGTTATAATAAAGAGGGGTTATAATAAAGTATGGTTATAATAAAGTATGGTTATAATAAAGTATGGTTATAATAAAGTATGGTTATAATAAAGAGGGGTTATAATAAAGAGGAGTTATAATAAAGTATGGTTATAATAAAGTATGGTTATAATAAAGTATGTTTATAATAAAGAGGGGTTATAATAAAGAGGAGTTATAATAAAGTATGGTTATAATAAAGAGGAGTTATAATAAAGTATGGTTATAATAAAGTATGGTTATAATAAAGAGGGGTTATAATAAAGAGGAGTTATAATAAAGAGGGGTTATAATAAAAAGGGGTTATAATAAAGAGGGGTTATAATAAAGTATGGTTATAATAAAGAGGGGTTATAATAAAGTATGGTTATAATAAAGAGGAGTTATAATAAAGTATGGTTATAATAAAGTATGGTTATAATAAAGAGGGTTATAATAAAGAGGAGTTATAATAAAGAGGGGTTATAATAAAGAGGGGTTATAATAAAGTATGGTTATAATAAAGAGGGTTATAATAAAGAGGAGTTATAATAAAGTATGGTTATAATAAAGAGGGGTTATAATAAAGTATGGTTATAATAAAGTATGGTTATAATAAAGTATGGTTATAATAAAGAGGGGTTATAATAAAGAGGGGTTATAATAAAGTATGGTTATAATAAAGAGGAGTTATAATAAAGTATGGTTATAATAAAGAGGGGTTATAATAAAGAGGGGTTATAATAAAGTATGGTTATAATAAAGAGGAGTTATAATAAAGTATGGTTATAATAAAGAGGGGTTATAATAAAGTATGGTTATAATAAAGAGGGGTTATAATAAAGAGGAGTTATAATAAAGTATGGTTATAATAAAGAGGGGTTATAATAAAGTATGGTTATAATAAAGTATGGTTATAATAAAGAGGGGTTATAATAAAGTATGGTTATAATAAAGAGGGGTTATAATAAAGAGGGGTTATAATAAAGTATGGTTATAATAAAGAGGGGTTATAATAAAGTATGGTTATAATAAAGAGGAGTTATAATAAAGTATGGTTATAATAAAGAGGAGTTATAATAAAGTATGGTTATAATAAAGAGGGGTTATAATAAAGAGGGGTTATAATAAAGTATGGTTATAATAAAGAGGGGTTATAATAAAGTATGGTTATAATAAAGTATGGTTATAATAAAGAGGGGTTATAATAAAGTATGGTTATAATAAAGAGGGGTTATAATAAAGAGGGGTTATAATAAAGTATGGTTATAATAAAGAGGGGTTATAATAAAGAGGAGTTATAATAAAGTATGGTTATAATAAAGAGGGGTTATAATAAAGTATGGTTATAATAAAGAGGGGTTATAATAAAGAGGGGTTATAATAAAGAGGGGTTATAATAAAGAGGAGTTATAATAAAGTATGGTTATAATAAAGAGGGGTTATAATAAAGAGGGGGTATGATAAAGTATGGTTATAATAAAGTATGGTTATAATAAAGAGGAGTTATAATAAAGAGGGGTTATAATAAAGTATGGTTATAATAAAGTATGGTTATAATAAAGAGGGGTTATAATAAAGAGGAGTTATAATAAAGAGGGGTTATAATAAAGTATGGTTATAATAAAGAGGAGTTATAATAAAGTGTGGTTATAATAAAGTATGGTTATAATAAAGAGGGGTTATAATAAAGTATGGTTATAATAAAGAGGAGTTATAATAAAGAGGGGTTATAATAAAGTATGGTTATAATAAAGAGGGGTTATAATAAAGAGGAGTTATAATAAAGTATGGTTATAATAAAGAGGGGTTATAATAAAGTATGGTTATAATAAAGAGGAGTTATAATAAAGAGGGGTTATAATAAAGTATGGTTATAATAAAGAGGGGTTATAATAAAGAGGAGTTATAATAAAGTATGGTTATAATAAAGAGGGGTTATAATAAAGTATGGTTATAATAAAGTATGGTTATAATAAAGAGGGGTTATAATAAAGAGGAGTTATAATAAAGTATGGTTATAATAAAGAGGGGTTATAATAAAGTATGGTTATAATAAAGAGGAGTTATAATAAAGAGGGGTTATAATAAAGTATGGTTATAATAAAGAGGGGTTATAATAAAGAGGAGTTATAATAAAGTATGGTTATAATAAAGAGGGGTTATAATAAAGAGGAGTTATAATAAAGTATGGTTATAATAAAGTATGGTTATAATAAAGTATGTTTATAATAAAGAGGGGTTATAATAAAGAGGAGTTATAATAAAGTATGGTTATAATAAAGAGGAGTTATAATAAAGTATGGTTATAATAAAGTATGGTTATAATAAAGAGGAGTTATAATAAAGAGGGGTTATAATAAAGAGGGGTTATAATAAAGAGGGGTTATAATAAAGTATGGTTATAATAAAGAGGGGTTATAATAAAGTATGGTTATAATAAAGAGGAGTTATAATAAAGTATGGTTATAATAAAGTATGGTTATAATAAAGAGGGGTTATAATAAAGAGGAGTTATAATAAAGAGGGGTTATAATAAAGAGGGGTTATAATAAAGTATGGTTATAATAAAGAGGAGTTATAATAAAGTATGGTTATAATAAAGAGGGGTTATAATAAAGTATGGTTATAATAAAGTATGGTTATAATAAAGTATGGTTATAATAAAGAGGGGTTATAATAAAGAGGGGTTATAATAAAGTATGGTTATAATAAAGAGGGTTATAATAAAGTATGGTTATAATAAAGAGGAGTTATAATAAAGTATGGTTATAATAAAGAGGGGTTATAATAAAGAGGGGTTATAATAAAGTATGGTTATAATAAAGAGGAGTTATAATAAAGTATGGTTATAATAAAGAGGGGTTATAATAAAGTATGGTTATAATAAAGTATGGTTATAATAAAGTATGGTTATAATAAAGAGGGGTTATAATAAAGTATGGTTATAATAAAGAGGGGTTATAATAAAGAGGGGTTATAATAAAGTATGGTTATAATAAAGAGGGGTTATAATAAAGTATGGTTATAATAAAGAGGAGTTATAATAAAGTATGGTTATAATAAAGAGGAGTTATAATAAAGTATGGTTATAATAAAGAGGGGTTATAATAAAGAGGGGTTATAATAAAGTATGGTTATAATAAAGAGGGGTTATAATAAAGTATGGTTATAATAAAGAGGGTTATAATAAAGTATGGTTATAATAAAGAGGGTTATAATAAAGTATGGTTATAATAAAGAGGGGTTATAATAAAGAGGGGTTATAATAAAGTATGGTTATAATAAAGAGGGGTTATAATAAAGAGGGGTTATAATAAAGAGGAGTTATAATAAAGTATGGTTATAATAAAGAGGGGTTATAATAAAGAGGGGGTATGATAAAGTATGGTTATAATAAAGTATGGTTATAATAAAGAGGAGTTATAATAAAGAGGAGTTATAATAAAGAGGGGGTATGATAAAGAGGGGTTATAATAAAGAGGGGTTATAATAAAGAGGGGTTATAATAAAGAGGAGTTATAATAAAGTATGGTTATAATAAAGAGGAGTTATAATAAAGTATGGTTATAATAAAGAGGGGTTATAATAAAGTATGGTTATAATAAAGAGGGGTTATAATAAAGTATGGTTATAATAAAGAGGGGTTATAATAAAGAGGAGTTATAATAAAGTATGGTTATAATAAAGAGGAGTTATAATAAAGTATGGTTATAATAAAGAGGAGTTATAATAAAGTATGGTTATAATAAAGAGGAGTTATAATAAAGTATGGTTATAATAAAGAGGAGTTATAATAAAGAGGGGTTATAATAAAGAGGGGTTATAATAAAGAGGGGGTATGATAAATTGGGGTTATAATGGCCACGCATACACTGTCACACACAAAACCATTGAAAGCTGCACTTTTTTTTCTCCACTTGAAACCACGTGTAGGGTTTCAACCCCCGAAAGTGACAGACAGTCTCTCTGACCAATGAGAAGGCCGGAACTTCTCCGGTTTTCTCGTGTCAGGGCTTACAGATACCAATGTGACATGAGCTGAGGCGGTGCCGGGGCCGTGGAGGCGTGTCCAGCGCTATAAACTCACTACAGACTGAATTACTGCAACTTCTCCAACTTTCAAAGAGTTGCGCAGTCCGCTTTGCGCCTTTGCAAAGCCCCCTCACACTAAACTCATCCACCCTTTTTTTCCCCTAACTTCTTCTTCTGCCTGCGTCGCTTCATCATGCTCCACTGCCATGTTCCCCATCTGCTCCTCTCTCTGCTCTGCATCGGATCGGCTGGTGAGTACTGACTTTCCGCCTCAGCTCTGTGCCATGTAGGCTCCGTCTGTTTCTCTTAGATATAGGTCAACCGCAGCAATCCGTTTCCTCAGCTCAGGGACTCAATGTGTTACTTATCAGATGGGAGGTAGTCGACAGTGTGTTGGTCAGATTGCGCACGAAAAGCAAGCAGAAGTAATCGCTGCAGAAATGCCTTGCGCGGAGTTTTTCTGCGGATTTTTGCAAGTTGAGCTCTTAAGTTGAACGTGGCTGAGCGAGTCACGGAGCATTAGAGCAGACAGTTCACCCAGTTCATGGAGTCAGGACAGGAGGTTTTTTTTCTTCTTCTTCTTCTTCTATGTGGCCGTTGTTTGATGGAAAGTGTCTCCCCCCCCCCTCCCTCCCCCCACACACAGCCCAGTCTGAGTCGGACACAGATGAAGTGGTTCCCTGGCTGCTGTCCGGACAGGAGGCGCACCTGTCCGCCGTCCACACGCTGCGGCGCCGCGGTCAGCGCTCCCTGGACGTCCCGGGGGGAGGGCAGCGTGACCCGGGTCATATAATACTGTCAGTGCCCGCTTTTGGAAGGACCCTGTATCTAAACCTGACGCGGGACACTGACTTTCTGTCGGGGGGCTTCGTGGTGGAGGAGAGGCGGAGGGAGCAGCCCGCAGCTGTGAGCAGATTGTCCACCAATCAGCGCTGCTTTTACTCCGGATCCATCGTCAACCACACGGACTCTCTGGCATCCGTGAGCACCTGTGGAGGCCTGGTAAATCCATCTCCTTTTCTTATGTCATATGCAGCCCCAAGCAGCTGAGCTCCACACGTCGTTTAAATGTAAAACCATGAAAAGGCAGGTTGTTAACTGGAGCTGCTGTCTCTTCACTCAGTTAATCTGTTAAACCTCCTCACCTGCCAGTTTAAACCCCCCCCACTTTTCAGCCCCCGCAGAGCTTTATTTCACATGCCTGCTCAGCTCTCACATTTCAAAGATTCATTCAGGAGGCTGCAATGAGAGAAAATCGATCCAGAGTGTTGCTATAAAAACTTTTTCTTTCGGGATCATTTAAACTATCTTAACTTTTCTTCTTTAAGAGAGAACATACCTGGAGAAATGAAAGCAGAATGAGTGAACTCACGAAGCTTTCTGAGGAGCTCTCAAATACATTTCATAGTCAAGATAAGGGTTGTCACAATAACCCAATTTTAAACTTTCAATACATTGATACTACAGCAACAAGTCCTGTTGGGTAATTTGCAGGTAAACTCCTGCACACTGTCTAAATTGCACAAATATGTTGGCAATGTTTCGAACTGAATTGTTGCCAATGTTTTTGGACAATTAAAACAGCTCTCTCTCTCTTCTCTCGCAGCAGCTTTGGGTTAAACATATGACTGAAGAGCTATCTTTTTTTAAAGCTTCTATACTTTTCGATACTGTTGATCATTCAAAAAAGTATCTTAAAATGTTCACAGCCTTCGTGAACATGGAAAAAACAGCAAACTCTCTCTGTTGATGACAATCAGAGACGCTGTTGTAAAGCTAACAAGTTAACTGAGCTGAAAGAAGAATAAACTTGAACACATGTCAAGTTTAACATTATTACTGATCCAATGTTGATTTGAAACTTAAACTTTAAAATGTTGCTAAGCTAAACATGTGTCTGTCATTCTCACTGACCTTTTGTTTAAGTCATTAAGAAACTTAATGTGTCAGTTAAGTGATTACACTTTGATTTTAGAGATGGCTGAAAATCTTAATATCAGAAGAAAGTTATTGGCTGTTAGTTTTTTTCATTGTCTAAATGTGCAGGCATTCACCTGAACACTGTCTAAATTACACAAAAACATTGGCATTGTTTTTGTTCAATTTCGACAATGGCCTTTTCTCTCAGTATTTGGTTGACATTTTGTCTTAAGAGTTTTTATGACACTATCGCGCTGTAATTAAAATAACAGATAGTTTTAAATCATGTATGAAAAAGTATCAAAGTAACTGAAATATGTTTTACCCTTAACAGACCTCAGATCTCAAACTCCATTCATCCCTCTGCACCTTTAAGAAAAAGCTAAAGACACAGCTCTTTCATGAACACCTATGCCTTTAATATTGAGGATGATGATTTAGGATGGTTTTTATGCTGATGTGATATGAACTCTAATGAACAACTGATGATATATTAACTTTATTATAACAAAGTGCTTTGCCTCTGGTCACTTCCTGTCAGCACCTGTGTGTCCAATTGGACTTGTTTGCTCTTACTGACATTGTTCCCTTTTTTCTAGATCCTTGCTTGTGTTGTACTTACTCTCTGATGTACGTCACTTTGGATAAAAGTGTCTGCTAAGTGAATTGTAGAATTGTAGATGTGAAGTGTTCCTGGTACACTCACAGTGTAAGTACATGCTGTGGTCATGGTTTTCACACATTCACTGGCTGCATGTTTCTCCACATTCACATTCATTCATCAACCACTGAAGGCCTCTGCAGACACAATGCTACAACAGCACAGAGCGAGCATCAAGCACTGTGCGCATTACAGCGAGCGGGGACCAGGTTGACCTTAAGGTGCAGGGTGAGGTGATGTGCACTGAACCTGAAGGTGACACAGCTCGAAACTGCATTGTGTCTCAAAAGGCCTGAATGCAACAGAAACTACACAAGTATTTATTAAAGGCAGTGGATTTAACGTTTTGCTGTGTTTGATGTCCCCGCCCTTTTAAGTCCACATTTTCCAACCACTGGTCGAGAACACTCAGAGGGGGGTGCGACTCACATCTCAGCGGTCAAATCTTTGCACTTCACTGTTTTGTAAAACTTAAGAAAGTGAGACGTAAAATTAAACCTCAGTGTTCAACGTTAACAAAGTTTCAACAGAAATCCTCTGCGGAGGTCTTCTCGTTTGAAACAAACAGATCTGACGATTAAATCCAGTAAAAAATGTTCTAATAAGCAGTTCAGAGTTTCTACCGCTCTCCATCAGTCAACACTTAAAGGCTTTATATGTGATTTTTCACACTTAAATGTAATAGAAATCAAGTATATCCTCTGAAAATAACTCTGTGAGTCATGACTGTCTACAATGGGTGTAACACCCGAGTCCCACTGTCTGTGATGTTTTCAGAGTTTTCAGAGTCCTATCTTCACTTTGTTTACATCGCCTGGACGGCCGGCTGACTCCTCCCCTCACGTATAAAAGTTGTTTAATTGAGGGACTAGAGAAAAGAAGAATAACATACTGTACTCACTGCTTAACTGTGTTTCTAGATCACGCTCATTTCAGGTAAATTTACATGCAGTGTGAAGATACGAGCATAATAAAGATCGCTAGCATTAGCATGCTAACACAACAATGCAGCGCAAGTTGTTTTGGTTTCATGCTGGTGCTCAAGGGCGACATCTACTGGATCAAAAAAAATCACATATAAAACCTTTACGTAACATCAATTCAGTTCAAATAACTGAATTTATCCCTTTGGAACTTCAGCTGTGTAAAGAAGCATCAGTGTGCACACAGTTCACATGTATGACATTAAAGAAAAAACACACACACACACATATATAGCACTCATCATTCAAAGTGCAATGTAAAGAGTGCTGAGTGGGTGAAACTTGTAAGCCATCACAAATGATGCATGACAGATTAGCAATAATAAATAAAGCTACACATTCTAGGGTTAAAAAGAATAAACATTAAAGTTACCTTGAGAGATGTATTAAAAGCATGTTGAATAGGTCATGAATAACTGACTGATTTTCTCACTCATTGTCATGACTCAGAGAGACATTTACAAAGGACATACTTGATTTCTTCTGTATTTATGTTTAACATGTCGCACATTCTTCCTTTAAAAAGAGTGGTGTAAGAATAAATCAATAGTTTGATCAGCTGTTCATGAGTCTGATATATGTGGGCACAAAGACATGGCTCTGTTTGACCTGAAGGTGAGCATTCTGTACCTGTCAGAGCGACTGCATTATGCTGCTAGCTTGGTTTTATGTCAGGATTTATCAAGAGTTTACGAGCAGCCAGATTATATATTTTTGAACATGTTTGTGGAAGTGTTCACCTCAAACAAAAGAAACAGATTAGCACTGGTTAAAAAGTGAAGCAGTTTCAAGTTAAAGATCAAATTTTCTTCTTTTGTTCTTCAGTGGACCTTTGGGGGAGCTGCAGGCGAGCTGTTGCTAACTTTAGATCTGTTTTTTTGACTCATAATTTTAAAAGTTGATGTCAGGCTACAAATGCAACAGTAACATAACTTTAAAGGCTAGAAACGTTTGAATAGATATTCCATAATCAAAAGCAGAATCACATTCAACACAAAACAAAAATCATGGATCAAGCTCAGTCCACTGATGGCACTTTCAATGTCATCCTATCAGCTGTGACTGTACGGCACAGCTGATCGTGTTGCTATCAGACAGAGTGTTATACGATTATTCTATTCATGTAAATGCCATACAGGAAACTAGAACTGGATTTACAGAGTTGAAAGCAGCTGAATGAGAGCGATAAGAAAACAGATGATCCATGTGAAAGAAAAAGCTTCTCTCCATCTCTGCTCTGCTGTTCGGTAACAGCCTGACCTCCCTGTGGAGGGGGGTTAAAGAAAATATGAATTTCCCCACTGTGAGCAGTGAAGTTCCACATTAGCCGAGGCATTTGGTTTAGTCTTTTATGTAAAGTGAGTGTTCAGGTAGGAGTGAAGGCTCTTCAGCAGAAACAGGCCAGCTCTGAACGTGAACTCAATTATTGCACATAAAAGAGAAAACATGCAGTGTAATAAAAGTACGTTAAAACATGATGTGCACTAATCATGCAAAGTAATAAAAGTCAGCTACCCTGCTGTAGTGTAGCAGAACTTCATGAGCCGTGTGAAATATAACATGATGTGCAGTCATCATGCAAATGTTACACTGTAAAACTGAGCAGCGTCATTTTTAAAGGTTTTTCTCTCCTGTTCAGTTCTTATTTTCTTCAGATGTGAGTAACTATATTCTTTGTCTTTTTGCATTGCATTAATGGGAATTTCTCATTTTAATGACCAAAAACTGCAGGCAAACTGCACTCTCGCTAAATTGCACAAATATGTTAGTAATAATTTGGTACTTAAATATTGCCAACTAGGGGTGCAAACCCTGAGTACTCGTTCATTAAATAATAATCGGTTACAAAAAAAATTTAATCGATAATTGTTTTGTTGTCCACATTTTTGTAAATGTTTCTTGTTGCATTGTGGGTTCTAGGATAGGCCTAATTCAGAACAGAAAAAAAGGAGCACACTCAAACAGAAATAAAACTTCAGGTGCACGAGCGCAAAAAGAAAACAGATGACAAACAAAGCGCTGATAAAGGCTCTGTGCAGAAACGCGTTCGTTATTGATCCGTACGCTGCTACACTAACAAAAATATCCCTTTAATTTACCCCTTTATGAATTCACAATGAACTAAAAGTCCCAAACAAACAAAATATGCAATAGATTCAAATGAATCAATCGATACAGTCGGCATCATGTCATAGTTGGGGGCGGGGCCTCCCGTGGGGGAAAAGAATCACAGAAAAAAAAGAACTATAAAACGATTACTCGAGTACTTGCTTTAACAATGGGAAGAGTAATCGATTTTGCATTTCTGCACCCCTATTGCCAACCTATTTGTACAATTTAGAGTCAGGGCCCGACCCATATGGAGGGTTTGGGGCCAATATCGCTATACTGATATATTAGCCGATAGAGATTGATGATAAAGATATATATTCACATAT